GTGTGTTCGGTGTTTATAATTGTCCCCCAATTATCGTGTGTGATGAATGTCTGTCTATGTCTACAATCTGATATATATATATATATAATGTATATACTGCGCCCGGTGCTGAGTGAGGGGGGCCTCTGGGTGGAGGAATCTTTGTATATATATATAATGTATATCTGAGCTAATGACGGGATTTCTCGGAGTCCCCCCAATACACATCCGCCCGCCGATCCCTGTATACAGATCACAGAGGAATAATACATCAAAACTGCGTCACTGGTGAACGATTATAGAGAGAGAGTCTTATTATACGGAGACTGGACGCAATCCTATAATGTACTATAGAGAGAGAACTTCCCCACACTGCACTCTCTCTCTATATATAATGTCACATAGAGAGTGTCTGTCATTATATTACAACTGTACCCCAGATGTGACTTTGATCCCCCCGATTGTGCGCTGGAGTACTTTCCCCTGTGTGTGGAATAAATATTACATGCCACATATATTGTATGTTACAGGCGATCAGCACCCGGAGAATTATATTACTTCTGTGCTGACATTTGTCAGGTGGGAGAAGCCAATCCTATTATATATTATAAATCAATATATATGCGTGTACAATATGTGTAATATATATAATATATATAATATGAGTGTACAATATGTGTATAATATATAATATATATAATATGAGTGTACAATATGTGTAATATATATATATATATGTCACAATCAAACAATGAGGAGGGGCAGGGCCAGGGGCCCCTGTACATCCAGAGCCAAGAGCCAGCCTGCCGACAAGGGGAGAGATCTTTATTGACAAAATATTGACAGCTCATACTTCTCGGAAGTAGATCGGAGATCGGACAGGTGTGAACACAAAACACAAAAATATCTACAGCGCGACAAGAAAGTCGCAGCGCCGGCGCAGCGTCACCGAGCGTCCAATAATAATTGCAATAATAAAAGTCTTCTCAAAGTCTCCTCCGGCCACAATCCGTCCATCGGCCCGGGGCGAGTGCAAATACATGTCCTGGGGCCCTTCCCTCCGGGGCAGGTAATCCGGGGCCCGCCGCTGTGGTGTACAAAACGAAAAAGAAAAGTCCAACAAAGTGCTGATTGGCGATTAATCGTCCGATGTGACGTCGATCTCCTCCGGACTGGCCTGTTTGGTGGCGAGCCTCCAGCGATTGATGTGATGGGCCCCCTTCTTCTTCTGGGACGAGTCCGACCCTTCCTCCTCCAATTTCTGTCGCTTGAACTTCGTCCGTCGGTTCTGGAACCAGACCTTCACCTGCGGGAGATCGTACAGTTCAATCACCGATCCACAATACACAGATACATTACCGATCCACAATACACAGATCAAGCACCGATAACCAGCGATAACAGTCGTATGACTTCAGTCGGCCATTAATCCGATACACACTGATAATACACCGACCACATTCACCCGACCCATCACTAATACACTGACCACATTCGCCCACCGATACCAGGCAGTGTGTCGGATTGTCTGCAGGATTGTCGCAAATCGATGCTGAGACACTGGAACATCGGGCGCTAATCGATAAATTATACCGACATTTGTGCCTGATACCAATTCCGACCACAGCCCGACCGCTGCAGCATTATAGATCAGATCGGATATAACACACACACGTGACTCGGATCTCCTGTTTTACTGAAATTGTATTTACAACTGTAATACAGAAATATATACCGAACACCCCGATATATAATATACACCCCGATATATAATATACACCCAGATATATAATATACACCCCGATATATAATATACACCCCGATATATAATATACACCCAGATATATAATATACACCCAGATATATAATATATACACCCAGATATATAATATAAAGAACCCAGATATATAATATATACACCCAGATATATAATATAAAGAACCCAGATATATACTGTATACACCCCGATATATAATATATACACCCAGATATATACTGTATACACCCCGATAAATAATATATACACCCAGATATATAATATAAAGAACCCAGATATATAATATATACACCCAGATATATAATATAAAGAACCCAGATATATAATATAAAGAACCCAGATATATAATATATACACCCAGATATATAATATATACACCCCTATATATAATATATACACCCCGATATATAATATACACCCCGACATATAATATATACTCCCCGATATATACTGTATACACCCCGAAATGTTATATACACCCAGATATATAATATACACCCAGATATATAATATATACACCCCTATATATAATATACACACAGATATATACTGTATACACCCCGATATATTATATATACTCCCCGATATATAATATATACACAGATATATAATAATCGTGTTATTAGGTACATTCCGAACACACAAGTCGGCTGAATAATATTATATTATAAATTGTGTATAAAATCATTTTCCTGCTTCATTCACCCGCCGGACCTCCCACATATCTGCCTGAGATCCACTACACTCCGAACACAAATAATATACACCCCGATATATAATATATACCCCGATAGATTTGTCTCCTGTATGCCGATGATGAATATTCCCCCCAGTATCGGATGATTATTGTCAGTGGCGGGATGAGGGGCCCCGGAGAAGACGAGGTCGGGGCCCCGCAGTGTTGGTTGTCTGCAGCTGACAGATAAGTAAAGCCTCTAATCTGCCCGGGCCGGGGTCCTGTGGTGCTATGAAGGGGGGTCCGAGCTGTGTCCCCCTACTAGAGGGGTCACCCCAACACCTGCCACCCCCGCACCCGTCATCACTGATATCATTATTATATTATTATCACCCCCTCCCCCCATCTCCGCTCACACATCGCACACCGATCGTCTTCATTCACCTTCCTCCTCTGAGGGGCCGATTATACCGATCAATGTATATTCACCCCAAAACACCGATCTGCAGCCGCCAATACCCTCCTGATAACTATTCACCCCCTTACAGTGATACAGTGTAACTATTCACCCTCTACAGTGATACAGTGTAACTATTCACCCCCTTCCAGTGATACAGTGTAACTATTCACCCCCTTACAGTGATACAGTGTAACTATTCACCCCCTTACAGTGATACAGTGTAACTATTCACCCCCTTACAGTGATACAGTGTAACTATTCACCCTCTACAGCGATACAGTGCAACTATTCACCCCCTCTACAGTGATACAGTGTAACTATTCACCCCTCTACAGTGATACAGTGTAACTTTTCACCCCCTTACAGTGATACAGTGTAACTATTCACCCCTCTACAGTGATACAGTGTAACTATTCACCCCCTTACAGTGATACAGTGTAACTATTCACCCCCTTACAGTGATACAGTGTAACTATTCACCCCCTTACAGTGATACAGTGTAACTATTCACCCCCTTACAGTGATACAGTGTAACTATTCACCCCCTTACAGTGATACAGTGTAACTATTCACCCCCTTACAGTGATACAGTGTAACTATTCACCCCCTTACAGTGATACAGTGTAACTATTCACCCCCTTACAGTGATACAGTGTAACTATTCACCCCCTTACAGTGATACAGTGTAACTATTCACCCCCTTACAGTGATACAGTGTAACTATTCACCCCCTTACAGTGATACAGTGTAACTATTCACCCCCTTACAGTGATACAGTGTAACTATTCACCCCCTTACAGTGATACAGTGTAACTATTCACCCCCTTACAGTGATACAGTGTAACTATTCACCCCCTTACAGTGATACAGTGTAACTATTCACCCCCTTACAGTGATACAGTGTAACTATTCACCCCCTTACAGTGATACAGTGTAACTATTCACCCCCTTACAGTGATACAGTGTAACTATTCACCCCCTTACAGTGATACAGTGTAACTATTCACCCCCTTACAGTGATACAGTGTAACTATTCACCCCCTTACAGTGGTGCAGTGTAATTATTCACCCCCTTACAGTGGTACAGTGTAATTATTCACCCCCCTTACAGTGGTACAGTGTAATTATTCACCCCCCCTTACAGTGGTACAGTGTAACTATTCACCCTCTACAGTGATACAGTGTAACTATTCACCCCTACACACACACACACACACACACACACACACACACACACAGTGTACGTATCCCCCACTCGTGAGGTGGCTCCCCCTGGTCTGGGGGTGCTCAGTGTTTGGGGTGCATAGTTTAGGAGGGTGTCATACCTGGGTCTCGGTCAGGCTGAGGCTGTGGGCCAGCTGCTTCCTCTCCGCTCCCACCACATAATGGTTCTTCTCAAAGGCGTGCTCCAACCGGAGGAGCTGGGACGGGGAGAAGGCGGTTCGGATCCGTTTGGGTTTCCGGGCCAGAGCATTGTGCAGCAAGAAGCTCTCCGCACTGGTGTCATTTCCTGCAGGGGGGTCAGAGGACAGGCCATGAAGGATCTGTATAGGTACCTGAACATTCACCCAGCACCTCTGTACACCTATACTGAGCCTCGTATATATCTGAACATTCACCCAGCACCTCTGTACACCTGTACTGAGCCTCGTATATATCTGAACATTCACCCAGCACCTCTGTACACCTATACTGAGCCTCGTATATACCTGAACATTCACCCAGCACCTCTGTACACCTATACTGAGCCTCTTATATACCTGAACATTCACACAGCACCTCTGTACACCTATACTGAGCCTCGTATATAATCCATCTCTATACATTAACCGACCACATCTTATAATTCACATGCGATTGGTTGGTTTGAAGATAATAATACAATTCCATGTTTTCTGTAAAAAGCGGAACATTTATGTAACGAAATCACATTCTATTATGTTATGTTTTGTGTGATGATTCGTTCTATAATATCTGATTTTAAAAAATACATTCACCCAGCACCTCTGTACACCCATATAATACCGAGCCTCAAATATATCTCTACATTCACCCAGCACCTCTGTACACCCATATAATACCGAGCCTCAAATATATCTACACATTCACCCAGCACCTCTGTGCACCCATATAATACCGAGCCTCAAATATATCTACACATTCACCCAGCACCTCTGTACACCCATATAATACCGAGCCACAAATATACATTCACCGACCTCGGTACATTGTATAATATTAAGCCATGTACAGGCCACACAAAGTCCACATCTGAACCTGAACATTCACCCGGTCTCTGTATCTTTATACCACAGGCGATATAAAAATATATAGGCGATATCAAATCAATATCTGGATCGATACATCCATCCCCGTGCAGTTATAAGATATTCCCAACTACATCACCGAATACTTGATTACACATATATTCTGTATATTATATTATATTATATTATAT